ACATTACCTGACTTCACATTATACAAGGCTATAGTGACCAAAACAGCATGGTATTCATACAAAAGCAGACATATGGACCAAATGGAACAGAACAGAGAATCCAGAAATAAAGTCAAACACCTATAACCAACTGATGTTTGATAAAGCAGACAAAACATAACTGGGGAAAGGACACCCCTATTCACAAATGGTGCTGGGAAAACTGGATAGCTACATGCAGAAAAATGAAACTTGATCCCTATCTCTCATCATATACAAAAATTAACTCAAGATATTAAAGACTTAAATGTCAGACATAAAACCATAAAAATCCTAGAAGAAAATCTAGGAAAAGCTCTTCTGGATATTTGCCTGGGCAATTTATGGCTAAAACCCCAAAAGCAAATGCAACAAAAACAAAAATAAATAAGTGAGATTTAATTAAACGAAAAAGTTTCTACACAGCAAAAGAAATAATTAGCACAGCAAATAGGCAACCTATAGTATGGAAGAAGATATTCACAAACTATACATATGACAAAGGACTAATATCAAGAACCTACAAAGAACTCAAACAAATCAGCAAGAAAAAAGCAAATGACTCTATTAAAAAGTGGGCAAATGACATGAACAGACACCTCTCAAAAGATATACAAATGGCCAACAAGCATGACAAAATGTTCAACATTACTTATCATCAAGGAAGCACAAATGAAAACCACAATGAGATACCACCTTACACCAGTCAGAATGGCCATTATTAAAAAATCTAAAAACAATAGATGCTGGCATAGATGCAGTGAAAAGGGAATGCTTATACACTGTTGGTGGGAGTGTAAACCTCTGTGGAAAGCAGGATGGAGATTTCTCAAAGAACTAAAAGTAGATCTACCATTTGATTCAGAATTCTCATTACCAGGTATCTACCCAAAGGAATAGCAGTTGTTATATAAAAAAGACACCTGTACTTGTATGTTCACTACAGCACAATTCACAACTGCAAAGATGTGGAATCATCCAAACGCCCATAAAATGATCAGTGGATAATGAAAATATGGTATATATACACCATGGAATATTATCCAGTGGTCAAAAAGAATCAAATAGTGTCTTTTACAGCAACTGGGATGGAATTGGAGAACATCGTCCTAAGTGAACTAACAAAGGAACAGAAAATCAAACACATCATGCTCTCACTTATAAGTGGGAGCTAAACTAAGGATCTACAAAGGCATGGAGAATGGTAGAATGGACACTGGAGGCTCAGAAAGGGGTGGGGGAAGGGGTGGAAGGATGAAAAATCACCTGTTGGGTACAGAGTGCACAGGTGGGAGCGGTGGGTACACTTAAAGCCCAGACTTCTTTGCCACTACACAATGCAACCATGTAACCAAAAACTATTTGCAACCCCCTAACACTATTGAAAATTTTAAAAAAGAAACCATGAAAAAATATATAATGGACATATGATCCAGCAATGCCACTTCTGGGTATACAGCCAAAAGAATGGAAAGCAGGATCTCAAAGAGCTATCTGTACAGATATGTTCATAGCAGCATTAATCACAAAAGCTGAAAGGTGGAAGCCACCCAAGTGTCTACAGACAGATGACTGGATAAGCAAACTATGGTCTATCCATACAATGGAATATCATTCAGTCTTAAAAAGGAAGGAAATTCTGACACATGCTATAACATAGATGAAACTTGAGGACATTATGTTAAGTGAAATAAATGTCACAAAAAGACAAATATTTCTAACTCAGTGACTTGTCAGAAGAGAAAAAAAGAATTTTGATGACCAAAAAAAACAAATACTAGCCAGGCTCGGTGGCTCAGCCTGTAATCCCGCACCTTTGGGAGGCTGAGATGAGTGGATTGCCTGAGCCCATGGGTTCGAGACCTGCCTGGGCAGCGAGACCTCATCTCCACAATAAATCAAAAAAATCAGCTGTGCGTGGTAGCGCATGCCTGTAATTCCGGCTACTTGGAAGGCTGAGGCAGAAGGATCGCCGGAGCCCAGCAGGTCGAGGCTGCGGAGTGAGACTCCAACTCAAACAAAACAAAACAAAACAAAACAACAAATACTTACATGAGGTAATTAGAGTGGTCAAATTCATAGAAACAGAAAGTAGAACGGTACTTGCTGGGGGCTGGGGGAGGGAGAATGGGGAGTTAGTGTTTAGTAGGTACAGAGTTTCAGTTTTACAAGACGGAAAGAGTCACGGAAATGGAAGGTGGTGGCAACACAACATTATGAATATATTTAGCACCACTGAACCGTACACTGAAAATAGTGAAGATGGCAAATTTTATGTCATGTGTATTTTACCATAACAAAAAAATTTTTAAAAGAGAGGACAGAGAGCACAGAGAGCAGGATGTCATTATAATAACTCATGAGCTTTCACGGAAGACAGGGTGTTCCCAATGAAGCTACCCCCGAGGATCCAGGACGATAAACCAAAAAGGCCTGTGCTTGTACCATCATCATGATGCCTCAGAACACCAGGGATAAATGAAATGAACTCCCTGTAAAGGTCTTGGTAGATCACGAATAAAGCACGTTACAAATAAAGGATCACATATAAGCATGGCAACAGCCAGCGCTGATGGCAAGGGATGATGGAATGATGCCTTGACATTTCTAGGTGAAAATTAGTTTCAAACTTGATATCCACTCTTGAATTTGATGAGACAAAATGTCAACTGAAAGGAATAAGGCTGGGCTTGGTGGCTCACACCTATAATCCCAGTACTCTGGGAGGCAGAGGTGAGAGGATTGCCTGAGCCCAGGGGTTTGAGACCAGCCTGGACAACTTGGTGAGACCTTGTCTCTACAATACATTTTAAAAACTAGCTGGTGCAGTGGCATGCACTTGTGGTTCCAGCCACTTGGAAGGCTGAGGCAGAAGGATCACCTGAGCCCAGCAGGTCAAGGCTGTGGTGGTCCCATAGAGTAAGACTCTGACTCAAAAAAAAGGAAATAAAAATAAAAATAAAGGAATATGGGAATAACAATGACCCAAAAAGACAGACACAAGGTCTCAAAACATTTACCTACTAAGTGCCCTTTCTCAGAAAGCTACAGGAGGATGTAACCCACCAAGATGGGGAAATAAACCCGAACAATGGTGGTATCCACAAAGGAGAGGGAAGACAGAGGGCTCGAGAGGAGACACTGCAGGGCAGAAAACAGACTGAAAGAGGATGGCAAATGTCTGACTGTGGAAAATGTGCTGAGAAAACAAGGAGAATGCAAATGAAAAAGAGTTGGGGGGGAGGGGAGGGGAGATGAGGAGTAGAATTAAAAAAAGAAAAGAAAAATTAATAATAGATTCCTCAAAAAGTTCTACAGAGTCATCTCTACTAACTGAGAGCTCCACAAGGGTGGCTTCTGTTTTCTTCACTTTTTTCCCTAGTGCCTACAACAGAGCCTGGCCAAGCACTTGGAAAAGATTTCCTGAACAAAGAATCTGTTGTACTTATATTGGTTTAGCCAAAATGGCAAAATAACTATGTTGAGAAGATGGGACGAGAGGAAGCAGTGGTTTTGGAAGACAGCTAAATTCTCATCTACAAAATTAGGCAAAGTCAATAGCTGTTTACAAGTGATAGATGGAGAAATAACAGGACAAGCATCCGATGGAGAAAACAGATGCCCATGCCTGAAGAAACAGCGGGGTGGGGGTGGGGTGAGGTAGGGCAGTGGACTGCTATTACCTGACATAGGCCTTTGAATGCTCTTGGCTGGAAAGAGGCAAATCATATGGCACCATGATAGAAACAAAACTGAAATTTAAGAGTCAATCCTATTATTTTATAACTGCAGTCTATACCAAGTAAACTGCACCCCAGGCCTCCAACAGGTGGGGAGGGGGACATGGCAGAGAGGCTGAGCAAGCACAAGGCAAGGAGGGCAGGTCTAAGGGTGGCCTCTCTGATGCCTCCTAGGCGAGAGGAGGCCAAGTCGCTCATGAAGGCAGCACCTTGCGCAGGGCCAACACTAGATCCCGGGAATCTGTCGTTGAGGATTGTAAGCAACTCCTGGGCAGGATCCTCCCAGAGACCACAGCCTCCCACCTGACTGAGAGGGTTAGAATAAGTCCTTCTACAGCAACAGAAAAGTCACTGACTCTGACAAGCCACATGGTGAAGGAGGTCTCGTAGCACGTCTGTCCCCACTCCTGAGTTACAGCTACCAGAATATCATCAGCAAAGGTGCCTCCACAAGGGACTACAAGTTGTTCATTGCCACTGGCAAGACATCTGGGAAAACACACAGCTGCAAGGAAAATAACAGCAGCTAATACTTAGTGTGTTATAAGTGTCAAGCTGTGTGCTATTCCATTTTGCTGAATTTCCACAAGAATCCAAAGATGCTCAGGTCTATATATTTTAAATTCCCACTTTCCAAGTGACAAAGGGGGCCAGGAAGGCTAATGGACTTGCTGGTAAACAGGAAAGTTGCATTTGAACTCAGGCCATTACTATTCAAAGTCTTCCCAGGCGTTTCACTTGGGCTAGTACTCAAGGCTGATAGTTTTGTTGATTCATTAAAGTCATTTTGATTGAATGTGCACTGTATGCCAGGCAATCTCTACAATAAATCAAAAAAATTACTCAGGCAAGGTGGCATACATCTGTACTACCAGCTACTTGGAAGACTGAGGCAGGTTTGCCTGAGCCTGGCAGGTCGAGGCTATGGTAGCTGTAATCGTGCCACTGCACTCCACCCTGAGCAACAGAGTGAGATTTCAACGCAAAAAAAAAAAAAAGTCTAGGAGAGCATCTTCACAGAGAGCAATTAACAAGCAAATGATCACATAGCCAAAAGAGAAAAGAACAGTCTAAATTGGTAAGGAAAACAGGGCACACCTACATGGTGCATGTGGTCAGGAAGGCAAGAATGAGGAGGAGCCAGCTATGCAGAGCAGAGTAATGAACCTGGCCTTATCATGCCCAAGGAGAGAGGCAATCGCCCCATCCAAGTCCTTGCCCCACCTCTAAAGCGCCCAATACCTGGACAATATAGAGGCAGGGACAGTACTGGGCTCCTCCTCCAATGCTGATCCCGATCAGATTCTGAGCATCCTTCTGCAGGGTGACCTTCCCAGGCACAGTAGGGATTCCGCTAGAAGAAAAGCAAGTGAGGCTGAATATCCTGGAGGAAGGATGACTGCAGGGCGGCAGGCCCCCAGAACCTCCAAGAGGCTGCACATGCTGCCTAGCATTTTCTCTTCCTCACTTGGCCAGAACAGCATTTTGAGCTGGAACATGCACAGCTCTGGGATTCAGCCAGACGTGGGATCAAACTTCAGCTCTGCCATTTATCAGCTACAGGACTTGGGTTCAGTCACCCTCTGTGCATCTGTCTCCTCATCCATAAAACGGGAATAAGATCCCCATCAGAGTTCTTATAAAAACGTGCACAGAAGGCACTAATATCAGCCCAGTCCACAGCAGGCAGTCCCCAAAATAGGTTTTCTTTCCCTTCCATTCATTCAGCATCTGAGATTTGAGTCTTGTCCTCATCACCTTCTCAAGCATATGTGGAACACTATGGCCACCTCCTCTGGAAAGTCGTCTTATGTTAAATTATCCATTTCCCACCTCTCAATGAATCTATTCAATGACCTCTCAGTCTTCACTATAAATTATCATTCACTAATGATTTATGATAAACGCTTTCACTTATTCATTAAAAAAACATCTGCTAACAACCTATTGATGTCAAGCACTTCACTGAGTGCTGAGGACAAAGAAAGGCATTGCAACCAGTACTTACTCTCAAGGAGGATGTATTCTAATGAATAGACAAACTTGATTTTTGAAAATCTGTCCTACCAATTACCTATGCTGGGGAAGAAGGTATGCTTATGAAAAAGTCCTATCCATCCTTCAAAACCTGGCTCAACTGCCACCTCCTCTGTGAAGTCTTCCCTAACCGCGCCAGCAGAAGCAGTGCTCCATCTGCTCTGCCACCAAGTCATGCTATTAGCACCCTTACACACTGAATCGTGATTATCTGTTAATCTATCCACAGCCCCCTACAGATAGTGAGCTCCTGGAAGGGCAGAGTCCATTTCTGCTTCGGTGCAACACCTGACCCACCGCTGAGAAGCAAAGGTTTATGGGACTAGGAAGTTCAGGGAAATGAGGGACCTGGGGCTCCTGTGCTCCCGGAACTTGGGGGAACAAAATACTCACAGTTTATCCTCCTCGATGTCATAATCCAAGTCTGCAAACATGGTTCCGAGAGTTGGGGTGGGCTGGCTAACTGCCCAGTTCGGTAGGGGAATGGGGAACTGGATGCGGGAGAGAAAGGAGCGCAGGGTTTAAGGAATCAAAGTGCCAAGATGCCAACCTCACCCCTTCCCCCACCACCCTCGGTCAGGGACAGGAGGGCCCTCCTCCTCCCCTCTGGGAAGGGGTGGAGGAAGTCTCCAGGGTGGGGGGCTGGGAAGGTGATTCTTACTAGGTACACGGGGGGACTCCCGGCCAGGGCGATGGGCTCAGATACCAGAGCCCGCCCCACGGGTCTCCAGACCCCTAGAAGCTGCCTCTGTCGCTCACCGGAAGCGTTGGGCCCACAGCCGGGTACTGTCCAGGCTGGCACCTGAACCCACCTGCCGTTCCACCTGGCTGCGGCCGCGACTGTCGCGTCACTTCCGGCAAGACCCGGAAGTCCCACCCTCTCCCCTGGGTGTTTGCTCCAATCTCGGCAAGCAACCCTTCCTTCCCCGGCTCCCGAGACGCTCAGAACCAAGAAACGGGAACAAGTATTGGCGGAAGCTCGCCGTTAGTATGAAAAAGCGGAAACAGAGGAAAGGTCTGGACAAGCCGACAGCGCTTCACTCCCCACTTTGCCCGTCGCTGCCGCCATCTTGGAAAGGGTAGGGTTCTTCCCAGCATCCTGAGCGGCAGGCAGGGCACCACGCCGGCTGGGCGGTTGTCAAGGCAACGAAAGCATCACTGGGCCGGGGTTACCGCCGGTGAAGTTCAGTGGACTATAAACCCCTAACTCTTCTTCTTCACACCTTCACCACCTCGTCCTAGGAAAAGCCTGTGACTCCTCTACTAGAGCGACAGTGTCGGAGCTGGAAAGGCTCTTCGAGATTCCAGCCCGGACCCAGTTTTGCAGACAAGGAAACTAAGTGCCAGAGAGGATAGTGATTTTGTCCAGAGCCACGCACTGTTGGTATAAGATCCAGATCTTGGCCCCGACTAGGACCGCCTAGTCGAGTGCCCTTTGGACATCTGCACACTAAATTGAAAGCCAGGAGAGGTAGATTGAGTGGGTTTGCTATAAAGGACAGATTGGACATGTTACCTTCCCTTCCCGTTATGTGTCTCAGTTTCCCCATATGCAAACTAAGGCCATTGACGTAGATGCTTTCTATGGTATTTGATGAAAGATTTCTCACACTCCAACCTCCCTTCTTGTTTTGTTTTGTTTTGTTTTGTTTTTGAGTTTGAGTCTCACTCTCTTGCCCAGGCTGGAGTGCAGTGGCATGCTCACGGCCACTGCAGCCTCGACCTGCTGAGTTCAGGCTATCCTTCCCTCCTTAGCCTTCCAAGTAGCTAGAACTATAGGTATGCACTACCATGACTGGCTAATTGTTTTATTTTTTGTAGAGATGAGGTCTTGTCAGGTTGCCCAGTCTCGAACCCGTGTGCTCAGGCAATCCTCTCACCTCAGCCTCCCAAAGTGCTGGGATTACAGGTTTGAGCCACCATGCCCGGCCCCAACCTCCTTTCTTAGTCCTGAGGTGCAGCTCCCATGAAATCCCACTGAAGGTCACAGCCCTCATGTACCTGAGGCTCAGGAAATGCCATCTGTGCTACCCAGTCAAGGAGTCTGAATCTTGTCTCCTCACCAACCCCCGCTGCTGCTGCTATTGTGTAAAGTGGGTTCCCTGGAAGAAGTTGGCTTTCCCAGAACCACGGCCCTGGCCTCCGCCTCATCCAGGCAGCATGGGCCCAGGCCTATCCAGCCCGCTTCTCTAGTACCCCAGGAGCTGTAGAGGAAGGGGAGATGCAGAAGGATGGTTAACCACATGTCCCACCGGCTGATGGAAGTCCCAAACCCTACCCCCTCCTTGGGGAGCTAATCTGAGTCCTAGCACATGTGTAGAATGTCATGATAGTAACAACCTTCCCAGGTACCCACTGATTTGCAGTCAGATCACATCCACAGGACTTGAAAGCTTCCTGTGAGAGGAGAACAAGTATTGTCAACCACATGGGGCAAGTAAGGAAACCAAGGCTCAGAGAAGTACCTGTATCACAGGTGGTCAGTGACAAGGCTAGGGCTGGAACCACCAAGCCCCGTTTTCAGGCCAGAATTCCTATGTTATAAAGCAGCAGCCTCCAAACCTAGATGATTTAACATGGCTTGTGACTTGTGGGTCTTTCAGCTCATGACCTTGCTAACTCAAACCCGGGCTCTGCCATTTTGTCATTGGGCGATCTTAGGCAAGTCCCTGCCTGACCTGTGCCTCAGGTACCTTTAAAATGTGGAAATGATCCCTCCCAACAGGTCTTTGTGAAGGTCAAGATTAAAAGAAGAGGCTGGGCATGGTTGCTTACGCCTATAATCCCAGCACTTTGGGAAGTTGAGGTGAGAGGATTGCCTGAGCTCACAGGTTTGAGACCAGCTGGATAACTGGCGAGACCTCATCTCTACAACAAATCAAAAAATTAGCCGGTCATGGTGGTGCATGCCAGTAGTTCCAGCTACTTGGAAGGCTGAGACGGAAGGATCGCCTGAACCCAGCAGGTCGAGGCTACAGTGACCAGGAGCATGCCACTGCCCTCCAGCCCGGATGACAAGAGTGAGACTCCAACTCAAAAAAAAAAAAAAAATTCATGACTCGCCTGGGCAACTTGGCGAGACCGCATCTCTACCATAAATCAAAAAGTAGCCAGGTGTGGTAGCGCACGCCTGTAGTTCCAGCTCCTTGGAAAGCTGAGGCGGAAGGATTGCCGGCGTCCAGCAGGTCAAGGCTGCGGTGGCTGGGAGCTGCCACTGCACTCCAGTCTGGACGACAGAGTGAGACTCCAACTCAAAAAAATATATATTAAAGGTAGAGAAAAGTATGAGAGCTTTGTCAACAATACACATGGCACAGATGTCATTCAGACCTCCAAACCCCCAACCCACTCTGGCTCCTCTGCCCACGTGAGAACAAGATGCTCATGCCCCTCTGTTCTGCCTTGTCCTCCCAGCCTCCCAGCCCCGCTCTAACCCACCTTTTCTAGGCAGCCCTACCAGACAATCCTGGCTCACAAATCTTGCTTCTTTTTCTGAGTTCCTAAGCAGTTGTTATTTGGATCATTCATCTGGCAATGTGCTATGTTTTGCCTTGTGAAATCCCTTCACAGCTTCCCTAAGCCAATTCTGTGGTGACTAATTTATCACTTGCTTGTGTTTTGATGGAGAAGGTTTTTCACCCTTTGAAATTTGGACTTAGAGTTCATATCTTGACAAAATTATAAAATACCTCTCCCTGTCTCTTCTTCCTGGGTTCTCTTTCTCTACCAACTTGATAATCCCCAGTACTCCTATCTTCCGTAGGATGCTTGGAATCCATCAACAGACATCCCTGTGACAAACAAGAAAAAGAGAATTAGATTGCTTTGCAGTACCTGTTAGTGTGAAAATATCATGACACACTTAATTTTTTTAGTGGAGAGGGTCACCTGGGTCAGTACACACAATCCAAACAGAACCTGTTTCAGCCAATGGAGGGGGTCAGGCGGGGACTAAGAATTTATCTGAGGGGAAAGAAGGTTCCAGTACCATATTCCATCACCAAAGCAAGTACTTCTTGTCTTTCCAGCTTGACAGCTCCTGGGGGACAGGAGCCTCATCTTGCCCTCCTCTGAATGGGCCACTGCTCCCAGCACAATACCTGACTGTGAACGAAGTGCTTGCAGAAATAGTTGTGGCTTTGGTACGAGATGAGACGACCTCTGGGCCCAGGAGGAGAAGATTTGAATGGGAGAAGGCTCAAGAGGGTTGGAAGAGATGATGAGCGCCTGGACTGGACAGTGGCTGTGGTCCAAGCTTCCCCCAAAGGACTAGAATCACCAGGCCAAGTATAGGTCCTGAATTTTGGTTTTGGAGAAACAGCATCCTCCGAATCCAGACCCCATGACTGCCCCAACTCAAATCCGAGCGCTGCTGTTTTAGCCAGGGTATCTTGGACAAGTCACCCTCTGTCCCTGAGCCTCTGTGTCATATGGCGAGGATGATTATCCTCCCAAGAAGTTATAAAGATGAAATTTAAAAGGAGAAATGAATGTGAAGGTGCTATGTGAGTGATTCATGCAGTACAGATGTCAGAGGCTTCTACTGTCCTTCCTCATAATTATTTTGCTGAACCACTGCAGAAGGCAGGGCTGATGGCACACTTAGAGGGCCCTGAGATGCTCAGGCCTGTACAGCAGACTCATCTGAGCAGTGTCCTAAATGCAGATTCCTGGGCTCTTGAGTCAGACCTCTTGAGTCAGAATCTCTGGAGAAGGGGAGAGCTTGGATGGGGCACATTCACAAAACTCCGTGGGTAACGTCAATGCCTACTGCAGTTTGAGGACCACTGTCAGAGACACAGAACATGCAGAGTCTGTGCACACTTGGGTGGGCCCATTCAAGGCATCCACAGTCCCGGCCCCAGGGGCCTCACCCTCCAAGAGCCAGAGAACAGGGTGGGCCTCGAGGAGGGCTCCTGCCCAGACCAAAGGCCAGGGAAGACTTCCTGGAGAAAGTGGCATCTCAGCTGCATCCTGAGGAAGGTGGTGGTGATGCCCAGGCCGAGCAGAGGAAAAGGTGCAAAGGCTTCCTTTGATGGGTGGTGAGAGTGAAAGACACAGTCCCTGTCCCCAGGGAATCTCAGTCTGGCAAGGGAGACAGCTGGGGACAGTGACTGGCAAGGGCCTCGGAGGGGAGTGTGGAGCACCTTCCTCAGGATGGGTAGGATTCTGGGGGTCGAAACTGGGAAGGGGGGCATCCGCCCTCTTCCAGGGCTGCTGCTCAGACCCCCTCCCCAGCTTCAGCTCACTTCTCTTCCTCCCCTGCCTTGTGCTGTTCTGAGTCTGTCCAGGCAGGTGGGGGCCTCTCCCCTGGCCCGGCCCAGCCATTGAAACCTGCACGACCCCAGGCAATTCCCAACTCCTCTCTGGCCTTGGGTCCTCTCCAAGACCTTGTGGCTCCCAGTCTCAGATTCAATCCGCAAAGGCTCCTTCCCGGCCTCTCGTATTCCTGGGGCAGTGCTGCCACCTGGTGGCCATTGGGAGAAGTACCTCCTGGGACAGGAGGCTAGCCATAGATTTTTCCCCACCTTTCCGCACCTGCTGCTGTCACCACCCGCTGACTCAGGGCTGTCTGGGGAGACCAGAGGTCTTTAGAGTTTGTAGATGATGGGTGCGGCTGGTCATGCACAACACCGAGCTGTGCCTGACCCGCCCGCCCCTCAGTTGCTGCCGTCACCCAGCACCAGGCTTGCCATCCTCACTCTGTAAAGGTCCAGAAACCAGGGTGGGCCAACGGGATTCGGCCCTACTCAGCATCAGCACAGAGATGTGGAGCATGGGTCTCAAGTGGAGCAGGTGACAGTAATACCAGCAGCTAACACTCTGGGGACTTCCTGTGCACAGGCCCAGGGCAAAGCCGTTTCCGTTCTTTGCCTCACGTAAGCTCACAACGACCGTTAGAGGCAGGTCCGACTCACCCGCTCATGCGTTCATTCATTCAACATGTATCTGTTGAGCACCTACTGTGTCCAGGCCGCACAACAG